CTCGAGTATACCCACGACAGCTCGTGCACCTGGCTATGTTCTACTTGGAGATCCATTTCGATATCGCTAGTAGTAGAGGTGTAGGCCGCTCGGTTCGGGATGCCTGTGTTGTCCGTAGATCGTAGCGGAAGTTGGTCGGAGTGACTTCCTGGCTCGGTGGGTGGTGGGAACCAACAGTCTACGGGGTTTCAATCGTGTTGTGAAGAGGTCAGGTGCTGCCTTGCTCCGTGTGGGATGCGTGGGTGTCCTCGCCTGCGTTTCGCCGCTGACCTGCTGCATGTGCATCGCTTGCTTTGCGTGTGGTTCTTTGCAGGTTAATGTGTTCGCTGTGCGGTGTGGCCGTGCTGTGGGTGTTGCCTTGCGCTTCGCTGCTTTGCTGCCGTGCTGACCATCCGCTGGCCGTGCATTTCGTGTTTATCGCTTGTGTGCCTTGTAGGTTGGTTGCCTTGTTGCTGGTGCCTTGTGTGCCGCTCCCCGGTTGCCGACCTGCTGGTTCGCTCGCCCTGTCGTCCCCAGCACTGCTGTTGTCTTGCTTTGAAACGACCAAGATTGTGCCTTCTAGGCCATAGCTTGTACCTTGAGGTCACGACTGGTGGGCCGTGCGTCTTTACTAAGTGAAAACTAGCAGCGGGCTGTAACAAGGTGAAGAGGCGGGGTGAGGGTCGAGCCACAGCGTTGACTGTCCTGGTGCCTGGGAGCCGGCAGTGTGTCTGCCTATGGTTGAGTGGAGGACACAGCTCGGTTTGCTCAGTTGCTACTGCAGAGACTCGCCAGTTTGTATTGCCGTAAAAACGGGATTCGCAGTGTATGTCGGAGTATGGTGACTGCGGACTATGTTTTCGGTGTGTGTGGAGGAGCAACTGTTGAAAGACGAGGCTGCTAATGATGTATCTGTGCTGTGCTGCAAACTGTGTGTGTATTTGACCTGTCGCCAACTTCGGTCTACCTTTGGGTGGCCGCTGCGTACCGCTGTGCTATTAGTAAGGAAGGACAGATTGAGAACTCCTTCCTATTTTAAAGGGTGTAGTGTAACGACAACTGTTCTAAGGGGAGGCGTTGAGACTCAGGGTGTCGTCAGGGAGTCGACAACAGTGGTTTGGCTTCTGTTGACCAAGCTGCTGCACGTTTTGGCTACCATTGTGGGGCCCTCAGGTGATGGAAGATAACAAGGCCCTCTCCTGGGAGTTAAGTCAGTCCCCCTCCTGTATCTCGAGAGTCTGAAACCCCTCCTTCTGCCCTTCTTACTCTCAGTCTAATCCTGTTCAGAGAGGAAGGCGGAAGGCGGGATAGCAACCCGTCGGACCGCAACAAGACTCTGTGGGGAGTCTGCCCACTGATTGCGGGAGCTCTGCTGAAACTCAGGAGGAGCTCTGGAGGCAAGGAACTGAGAGGTAATCGTTGCTTTCCTTCTATGAACCCAGTATAACCCCTACTTGTATTCATTACTATGTTTGACTGAGTATGCTGCCTGTCTCCCTATTTTGACTTTCAGTTTGACCTTCAGGACACAATCCAGACTAAGTAAAGGAATGATTGTGCAAATTCAGTTTTAGTCTTTGTTGTTTGACTGAAAGCAGATTGTGGGATTGCATCTGGGGGAAGGATGGGAGGAAGGCTGTATTGGGTCAGCCAAAGGCTGGGAGAGTCTCTATAAGTTTGGAGGGCCCAGTGCTATGTTTATTTTGAATTGCCTGGAGAACCAGACATGTTCCATAAGTTTGGGTGGTCTGGTTGCTCTGACTTGTGAGGGCTGACAGTGAATGACTTTTCAGGGAACAAGCATGTTCCATATGTTTGGGTGGCTTGGTCGCCTTGTTTACTATGTTTTTTTTCAGTTTCTTTAGTTCCTGGACGAGGAGGTCTGAGCATGTTCCATAAGTTTGGGTGGTTCAACCTCTTCCTACTTTGGCTTTGAGAAAAATGAACCAGGCTGAGGACCAAGACATGTTCCATAAGTTTGGGTGGTCTTGGTCCAATGCCACGCACATGCTGGAACCAAAAGGATATAAATTGGCTATACTTTACTCTTATTCTATCTATGAACAGGCTAGTCAGACAGGGTTCCATAAGTTTGGGTGGTCTGACTATAGCCTATCACCAACTGAAGAGAGTACTAATTAAGAATAAACTTGTGGTACGAAGGGGCAGACTGAATCTTGAGCTGAAGATGATCGGTTCAGTTATATGCTACCTCAAAAGACTAAGTGCAAACAATTATATAAAGTTAGGATACTTAAATGGTTCAAGGCGACTATGGTGGCCTAGTCATATGCCCAAAGAAGAGAAAAGTTGTGCCGTATGTTTGTGTATATTCAATGGCTAAGCTAGGCAGGTTCCCATAAGTTTGGGTGGTCTAGCTTTATGCCCTATATAAGTTGGGTATAAAGGGATAAATCATTGAAAGATTACGAACTATTGTTTGTCCAGGTTGACTTGGGGATGGTGAGAGTACTTACCTTTGTGGTTTGGCCTTGCATGTGACTGAGTGAGATTACTACTTGGTCCGAGTTTCAGTTTGATAGGTAGTTGCTTTAGTTGCTCGCCAAGTGCTAGAGCCATAGGAGTTAGTTTCAATTCCTGCATTTTCTGAGCTAAAGTTTATTTTTACTTAGGTCAATTTCTGCATTTTCTGGGATCTTTTATTATACTTGGTCTTGTATAAATCTTGGTAAGCCACTTTCTTTACGGGAAGCGCTGCCGAAATTTCTACAAAACCAAGGAGTTAGTCATATTTTGTCTTTTCAAAGTTCAGTTTGTCTGACTTTTATATATGACTTGGTAAAAATTTGGCGAGCCTCCTTTTCTAAAGGGAGTGCTGCCCAAATTTTTGCAAATTCAGGGAGTTAGATAAAATTGGACCTTAGGAAGTCAAAGTCATTTTTAGATTCTGAACTTGGCTTTGTATAAATTTTGGTAAGCTCCTTTCTCTATGAGAAGCGCTGCCGAAATTTCTGCAAATCGAAGGAGATAATCAAAATTTGACTTTTCAAAAGTTCAACTTGTCTGATTTTTATATATGACTTAGTAAAAATCTGGGAAGTCTCTTTTTCTAAAGGGAGTGCTGCCCAAATTTTTGCTAATTCAGAGAGTTAGACAAAATTGGACTTTGGAAAGGTTATTTCTGTTTTCATATTTAGGTTGATATAAATTCTGGAAAGACACTTTTCGTACGGGAAGCGCTGCCGAAATTTTCTTAGTTTAGAGGAGACAGATTATATTCTGACAGGTGGCGACTCGGGCGATCCACTCTGTATGGGGGAGATTCTGCCATAGGTCTACCTTTCTTTGGGCACTGGCTTAGAGATAGACCTAGGCTTGGCTGTTAGGAGAGTCTTGAGTGAGAACATATCATGGGGATTTGATCTCCATACATTGACGATTTAGCTTGGACATTGACCTGTCGTATGATACAAATCTTCTTTGGACACTCGATCCAGGATTTGGACTAGTTTCAGCTTGATCCTGCAAGGATCATCTTCTGTTACCACTGATAACAAGTCGGTTGGAAGATTGGACTATGCAAGGGTCATAAGTTCTTTATAATGGCCATATAAAAGAAGTCCGGATAAAACCCTCACGACACAACTTTGCTTACACCTGTACCTCAACCTGATTGCCTTAACCCTGAGTTTTGATATGTTTCTTTGAGGGTTTTATCCGGACTTCTTTTAAATGGCCATTATAAAGAACTTATGAGATTTATGGAAGATTGGACTATGACTAGGGCTTGAGTGTGTGAAGCATGGTAAGAGTTACAGGGAACAGTAAAGTTGACCACATTGGTGTATGGCAATGTGGCTATTGTGTGTGCCTGTGTTTTATGCAGGTTAGTATTTTGGAGCTTGGTATATGGGTCATACTTTGGAGGCAGTGAGAATGACAACCATGTGTCGCACGATCTGCATACTTTATGGGTTTATGTTTCCCTTTTTTTTAATTTTATCTCGAGATCTGATTTGATGTATGGGTATTGGGATGCTAGTTTATTTACTGAGTGATTTTGCTTATTAATTTTGATAGTTGGACGTTGTAGTCCGTGGCAACCATCAAAGTCAAACCCCTTGACTTCTCTCCAGACCCTGGATGATGGAGCTGGTCTCCAGGACCATAAGAGACAATTGCCACCACAGGTATGAACCTGTGTACCACCCCCTCTCCGCAGGGTGCAGAAGAGGGTGTGGTTCTCAACCGCACTTGGCGTGTGCGGTTGTCTAGCGTCGAGAGATCATTCCCTCAAGGCGCGTGTCAGCCGAAACTTGAGTGTCGAATGCGACCCTCGAGATTAACGAGGACCGCATGAGTATGGGTGCTACACAATACGCCATCATTGCGACTGCTTGCGAATGCTTGCATTGCGAGTCGATATGAGTAAGCCCTGCGTCCGCGTGGTTTTGTACTAAGTCTCGCGCGCGATGCCTATCCGATTTCCGCGCCGGAGAGTTATGGGATGGCTACTAAGGGACTAGGAGTGGTGTCGCGTCGTTTGTCCTCTGTCGTTCTGTATATGTATAGGTATGTGTATTTTTATGTTTTTTAGAGTGGTGCGCGCGTGGTGTGTGGGATGCGTCCTAGTTGACCGACGATGAGTCGCGCTTGGGACCTCAGCCCCCTAAGATGCGGGTTCGCGTGCGGGTCCGATAGAGGCGTAATACCACACGTACCCCCTATGCTACAACGAACGAGAAACGCCCTCGGCTGGTCCACCTCTGCGATTGTAGATGATCAACTTTCGTACTGTGGACTGGTAGCTTGGCGGGGATACGCCCACCGAAGGGAGGTGACAGCTCCCGTAAGGAGGAGGTAAGTCATGCCTCACGTAGGCCCTATGCTGTCGTAGGGGCTCGCAAGAGGTATGGCTGGCGCACTCGGCCCGAGCGGCTTGCGGAAGCTCCATGTATATTCGCGACGAGGATTTAGACCAACTCCTGCGTGACGCGGCCGGGAGGGTCCCGCACTGCTTGGTGCGGTGCCGGACCGATGCGCTCGACACCGTTCAGCGAGGATTCCACGTTCCGGGGCAATTTTTGTGTGTGGACGTGGGTGGCGCCGGGTCAAAAGTTGAAGGACAGAACCCGGGGGGGGGGGCTCAGATGCAGGTTGTGTGGCCCGAGGGGGACGCCGCCTCAGATGCAGGCTGTGTGGCCGTGAGTTTGTGGGGGGGCAACCGCGCGCAGTCGACCACTTCATTTGGAAGAGAAAGACTGCGCGTTGCCCTCACGTGACACTGTCAATCTGGAGGAGGCTGCATTCTGTGGGGCTAAGTTGCCTCCTGACTTGTTGGATTTGGTGCAGCGAGTGGAGCAAGAAGACAACAGCGGTGATGGCGGTTTGGAGGGAGGAGAGGCCGCGGTAGACAATGACGACGAGGGGGGGGCAGAAGTGGGGAGGGTTGGACGATCACGTCCACAGTCAGGGAGTGCGGTGGAGGATATTGGGGGAAGGGGTGCCGTTGTGCGAGGCGCATGTGGTAGGGAAGTAGGCCCTTCTCATGCCAATGCACCTCAAGCACACCTTGACACAAGGGGACACGCGAAGCAGACTTCCATCGCCAGGTGGGCAAAAAACCCGCGACAGAAGGAGATTGATGAGACCTGCATTGAGTTTTTTGTTGAGAACGCGATCCCCTTCAACGTCGCGAAGAGCAAGTCTTACAACAAATTTGTGAACGCGTGTTTCGGGCCACAGCCTGTTGGCAAGCATCCGCTGGTCCCCACTGGCTACAACCCTCTGAGGTGTGTTCTTCAGGATGGCTTGCAGCGGAGGTTGCACGATGATGAGCGTGCCATCAGGGATGATTGGGAGGTCACGGGCTGCACGTTCATCACGGATGGCACGACAGACATTTGTGGCCGGTCGTTGGCCAATTACATCCTCACAGGGCGGTCAAAGCCATTGTTCATCAAGTGCGAGGATGTCAGCGACCAGGAAAAGGGAGCTACTTCAATTGTTCGGGGATGGAAGAATTTCTTTAGGGAGATCGGGGTGGATAAGATCACCGCCATCTGCATGGACTCGTTCTCTGGCAACAAGAGTGCAGCCACCATGCTGAGGGAGGATCCGGAATTCCAACAGATTTACTGGATCTCGTGCACTGCTCATTGCATGGACCTCTTCATGCAGGATGTGGGCAGCAAGTCGTGGGCCGCAGACATCATAAAGAACGCGAATAAGGTGGTGAAGTTCTTCAGGAACCACAGGTGGCCACGATCTGCACTGAGGACGGAGTTGACCGCACAAAAGGGCGTCAAGGTCAGAGTTCTCCTTTGTCCTGCCCTGACAAGGTTCGGCACCCACTTCGTGATGCTGGATCGATTCATCAAGTGTGAGAGAACCTTTCGTTGCCTACCGCTTGGGGACTCGTGGACGAACATGGATTGGCAGCCATAAATTTGGAGGGACGCTTGTGAGGTTGAGTCCGTCATTACTGACAGGGCATTTTGGGCTCACGTGAAGAAGCTGCATTCCCTGTTGCAGGGACCGACAACGTGCTGAGGATGGTAGACAAGGACATTCACTACTTGTCCCGGGTGTACGATGTCGTTGTGGACCTCAAAAACTGCATTGCGGAGGCCACACTCACATGTGCTGAGCGGGCCAGCATCCTGTATGATGTGGGGAAGAGGACGAACATGCTTTTGAGCCTGGTTCATGTTGTGGCCCGACTGCTGGATCCTCGATTGAGGGACATCGCCGTCTTCAGCAACGTGCAGTTGATGGCGCAATTCGACAACGTGGTGGGCCGCCTTGTGCGGGGAGTCGGGAGTTCGACGACTGCAAAGACCAGTTGTACGACTTCCAGTTCGGCAGAGGGATCTTCGGTGACCCGGCAGCGTTGAGGAGAGCAAACAAGGACAATATAGTGTTGTGGTGGGAGGCACATGGAAGTGGTCATCCGGAGACCAAGACATTGGCGATGAAGGTGCTTTCGATCTGGACCACATCCTCTCCTGCAGAGAGGAACTGGAGCACGTGGTCCCTTGTGCAGACGAAGACGAGGAACCAGTTGAAGCACAAGCGTACAGAGAAGCTTGTGTACTCGCACTGGAACCTCCAGCTGAAGAGCAGGGGGGAGGACGTGCCGATAATAAGAGGAGGGTGGTTGGGCCTGGAGCGTGAATGGTTGGACGAGAATCTGGAAGGTGAGGCAGCTGGTATGCTTGACGCGGCAGACGATGATGCAGTCGTGCATCAAGCTAGCGGATCTGAGAGGGGCAGCACCAACATCGTTGCTGCTCGTCGTGCATCTGAGAAGAGAACACAAGGACAAGATGTCTTTGACGAGGTAGACGAGGAGGGCGACGAGGAAGAGGAGGAGGACGACGAGGAGGAAGAGGACGGGGGAGACGAGTTCCCTCGCGAGGAGTGGAATAATGACCGATCTGACTCAAACAGGTCATGGACACGGCGGGAGGACATTAATCCCTATGTTCGCGGCACACGTTGCAGTGATCGAATAGCATCGCTGAATGCTCGGGGGCAGCGCCGACACGAGCAGCACGAGGAGCATCAGGAAGAGGAGCAGCAGGAAGAACAGCAGCAGGAAGAGGAGCAGCGGCAGGAGGAGCAGCCCGATGACGAGCAGGACGAGGAGGAACGGGAGGAGCAGCAGCAGCAGGAGGAGCAGCCCGATGACGAGCAGGATGAGGAGGAACGGGAGGAGCAGCAGCAGCAGCAAGAGGAGCAGCACGAGGAGCAGCGGGAAGAGGAGCAGCAACGCGAGGACAAGCAAGACCAGCAGGGGCCGCGACAGGGGCCGCGTGCATTCTATGGTCCAAGCAGACCACCGCAACTGCTTGGTTGCCTGGGGGCGAATGTTGGTGGCATGTGGGATCCTCTGAGTTATCGACCTCCACGTGGGGGTAGAGGAGGTCGACGATGTGCACAATCTACCCGAGGGAGACCCAGAGGGCGTCCTCCTTCAAGTTCCTCGAGAGGAAGAGGGCGTCCTTCTTCAGGATCCTCCATGGGCAGGGGGCGACCATGTTCTGCCCCTGAACATCAAAAGAAGAGGGCTGACGAGGAGGTCGGGGAGGAGGAGGAGGAGGAGGAATCAGACGACGATCAGCCACTGCACAGAACAAAAAAACGGAGGATGATGTCGAGTGAAGGGGAAGGGCCCACACAGTGAGAGAGAGAGAGAGAGAGAGAGAGAGAGAGAGAGAGAGAGAGAGAGAGAGAGAGAGAGAGAGAGAGAGAGATCTGTTGTTTCTCCATTGGACTCAGATTCCGTGTTGCCATGTCACTGTGTGTGTGTCTACGACATTTGTGTGTGTGTGAGTTGTGACGGCAGTTCCTTGCAACATCATAAAAAGCGGATGGAAAAAGAAATTAAAAAATGATTACCAGGCTGTGCAGACACAACTGTGTTGTTGCCCTGCCTGTCACTCTATCTGTCTTTGCCTGTGTGCATGTCTGTCGGAATCTGCCTTTCCCGTCTATCTGTCTGTCTTTGCCTGTATGCATGTCTGCCGTAATCTGTCTTTCCCGTCTGTCTGTTGGTCTTTCTGTTCGTCTCTCCGTCTGTCAGTTGCCCTGCCTGTCTGTCTGTCTGTCTTTGCCTGTGTGCATGTCTGTCAGAATCTGTCTTTCTCATCTGTTCGTCGGTCTTCCTGTCCGTCTGTCAGTTGCCCTGCCTGTCTGTCTGCCTGTCTTTGCCTGTGTGCATGTTTGTCTTTCCCATCTGTCTGTCGGCCTTTCTGTCCGTCTCTCCGTCTGTTTGTTGCCCTGCCTGTCTGTATGTCTGTCTCACTCTGTCACCCTGCCATGTTCTGTGTTTGTCTATCTGTCACACTATCACCATGTCGGATTGTCTTATCTGTTTACAACGTACAACAGGGGTGACCACTAACACAACAGTGGTGACCCTATCTGTTTACAACGTACAACAGGGGTGACCACTAACACAACAATAGTGACCACACAGACAGACAGTTGAAGTGAGTGACACACAGACGAGCACACAGGGTGGAAGAGTGACGGAAAGAGAAACAGGGAGGGTGACAGTTTGACAGTCACACAAATAGTAAGTGGTCTCTCCCTGTTTCTCTTTCCGTCACTCTGCCACCCTGTGTGCTCGTCTGTGTGTCACTCACAATAATTGTCTATGTAAGTGGTCATCGTGTCGGTTTGTGTGTGTGACTGTCTGTCTGTCTATCTATCTGCCTGTGTGACTGTCTGTCTGTCGATCTGTCACCTTGCCACCCTATCACGCCAGTCTGTCGATTTGTCACCTTGCCACCCTGTCTGTTGATCAGTCACCTTGCCACCTTGTGACACACAGACGAGCACACAGGGTGGCAGAGTGACGGAAAGAGAAACAGGGAGGGTGACAGTTCGACAGACAGACAAATACTAGTTGTCTGTCTGTCGAACTGTCACCCTCCCTGTTTCTCTTTCCGTCACTCTGCCACCCTGTGTGCTCGTCCGTGTGTAGCTCGCTTTAATTGTCTATGTGAGTGGTCATTGTGTCGGTTTGTCTGTGTGACTGTCTGTCTGTCTGTCTGTCTGTCTGTCTGTCTGTCTGTGTGATTGTCTGTCTGTCGATCTGTCACCTTTCCACCCTGTCACGCCAGTATGTCTGCAAATTTGTCGATCTGTCACCATGTGTGTGTGTTTGTGTGTGGCACCGTGCATGTGCGTGCAAGGGTGTATGATTCTCGGGGCGCCCACAGGCCCAAAGCCGCTCGATACGTACCGTATACCACGCAGACAATGGTATACGGTATTCGAATACGCTGTAAACTAGTTATATATATTATATACTAACATTACTGGGAAAAAAAAAAAATTACGTACGCGTACTCGCGTTTTCGGGCACGTACGCGTACGCGTACGCGGTGCTACCGAGGATTAGAATAATTAATCGGTGGCTGCGTCAGAGTATATACATTTGAGTCCAACAGGCAAGTTCAGATTCCTACAAACGAAACTATCTTGACTTTGACTAGTTCACAAACAGAAAGCACAATGAACAAAAAACAGTTCTATCTATGTTGTCTGTCAGATGTTAATGGCTGTGCACCTAACCAATCAAAATAAAAACAGAATCGTTTGTTGGGTCTATTTGCAGAGTGGAATCTTTCCCAAACTTATCACCTAGAATCTACCCCTCACTCAGTTCTTCCTGAATGTCTCTTGTCGGCAGTTGTCACTCATAAGCTACAAAACTATACACAATCTGCACTAGGTCACTCTTTGATGCATGTCGGCAGCTGTCGCTCATAAGCTACAGAACTATACACAATCTGCACTAGGTCACTCTTCGATGCTTACCGCAGCGTAGTGCACAGACCGATTTATAATAATTAAAATAATTAATTGGTGGCTGCGTCAAAGTATACACATTTGGGTCCAACAGGTAAGTTCAGATTCCTACAAACGAAACTATCTTGACTTTGACTAGTTCACAAACAGAAAGCACAATGAACAGAAAACAGTTCTAACTATGTTGTCTATCAGATGTTAATGGTTGTACATCTAACTAATCAAAATAAAAACAAAATCGTTTGTTGGGTCTGTTTGCAGCGTGGAATCTTTCCCAAACTTATCACCTAGAATCTAACCCTCCCTCAGTTCTTCCTGAATGTCTCTTGTCGGCAGCGTCCCTTAGCAATCCAGATAGCGTGCGTGTCTAAAGGTGTGCACATGGCCCACCCCTGTGCCCCGAGTCCTGCTGAGCTGGCCAGCCCTGCACCATATTTATCCTCGCATGCGCGAGCCTTACACCGACCAATTGGCTGATCAGGAGGCGTTTTTATGGACGGCCCCCGAAGTCCTCAGGAATTATTTAACGTTGCAAACAGGACGACGATCACATCCAATGGAAGGTCCCCGTCGGTACTTATTTATAGGCTTCCGGTACTCGTCTTTCCCATAGGGCTGGCCTGCCCCTCAGAACCCCTCTATAGCGCAGCGAGCAGACAAAGGACAAAGCAGCAAAGCATGCGTCCTCTACTCCCGGTGGGTTGGCATGGTGATCGTGACCCTGTGCTTCGTCCAGGGCCCTTCAAATAGCTTCGCCCTCTCCTTCCGGATGCTCCACGTGAACACTGACGACTCTCAAGGTTGAGCGCACACGACTCCTCACATGAGAGGACTCTCAAGACAAAACACACATCCTCACGGTAAGAAGTGTCGAAGAGAGTAGAGAAGGTTAGGTGCAACATACCTCAAAATAGCTGCCCTCAACCACATATCTCACCAGATGATCCAATACCGATTGTGATGACCAATCGCTGCTTCGGCACAACCAGCATTACACCGCCGTTCCACCTCAGCATCAATCGCACATCAGATAGTTCTCATCACACTGCAAACACCCAATATTCACCACATAGCCTTCCTGGCGATCCCCTCTCCACCTGGGTCGCCTACTTATCTTTGCCCTCCTCAGTACACACTCACTACGGTAGCTCGCCCAACATACCGCATGCATGTACCGCATAGGCAGAAGACGAGCGCCAGATGAGCGCAACGTACCACATCTCCGATACCAAATTGCAAGGAAATGAGCGATAGTGAACTTCAAAAATCAAAGAGCATCATACACATGAGACTAGATAGTCGAGACCTCGAACCAATACCAGAATTGCATCACGAGTTCCACCAAATAAGAGCGCAGCAAAAACTCATAATTGACAATGCTGGAATAGTCTCATCATCATCAACGAAGAACCAATGTCGATATCCTATCTGGCGCTCGACGCCCAGACTACACATGGCAGATCCTATCTAGCCTATCTACAATGTCCCTGATGACATCAACAGCTCCCTGAAGTACGAGCATATCTCGGCCAATGTCGTTCGCCTCAAGCACCATGTATGTCTCTCGTATCACTCACAACCTCGATCCCCAACATGCACCCAAGGACCACCATGCGCCCCATCCAGCATACAGCAGCGCAGCTTGGCTATGGCTGCCTGCTCCTTCCAGCTCGCTTGTGAGCACGTGAGCGCTGGCCAGCGTTAGCACTGCAGCGCTTGCGCAGCATGCAGCCAGTGCCCGAATGTCCAATGCGTGGGCAGGCCCTTCGCTATATCATGCAGCCAGTGCCCGAATGTCCAATGCGTGGGCAGGCCCTTCGCTATATCGAAGTGGCCTGCTGCTGCGTGCGATAATGCGGTACTGGGCCCCGACCCAAAAGCTTCCGGTAGCCCCCACGAGGCTGGCCCAGGGCCTGTGGTGGTTACTAGCGCCCAACTGCCCTCAGCCTTTGTTCGGTCCATGTTGTGTATCCGGCCCAAGGCCTGCCTCAGTTACATACGATGAAAGGCAGCCTGGGCCTGGGTGCTTCCAACCACTGGCGCTGCGCAACTGCCTGAATTTTCCCCAGTTGCGTAGTAGTCCAAAATAGGCCTCAAGCGGGCCTGCCTTCACTTAGGGCGGCCGACCTTGCTGATAACAAGGCCCAGTGGGGCTTATTGAGGCCTTGTGCCTCACATTCGGGCTTACTTCACGGTTTACCACAGGCTGATTACCAGAACCGCAATGCCCAGCACTATGCACCCATCTCCACACATAGTCAGCCTTCTATGCACCACAAACCTCGCCGACGGACGACGAAGCTGCGGTGGGGGACATCCTTGCGTACATTACCAAGCTGGCCCGCGAGTTTTGCATGCAGCGGTACGGCGACAACAACGCACCGCTCCTTTATGTCCGCATCTAAGTTGGGCAAGCGTCCTGGGTCCGCGAGTTTCGCATGCAGCGGTACAATGACAACAACGCACTGCTCCTTTATGTCTGCATCCAAGTCGGGCAAGCGTCCTGCAGCGCTTTGCTGGATAACAGCACGACTCGCAACTTCATGAGCCAGTCCTTTATTCAAAGGGCCGGCCTTAGCACACAAGTTGGAAGTAAGGCACACCGTACGGCGGCCAAGTTGGCGGACGGTTGGACGCAACAACTCCTTGATCGCAGCATCAAGGCCGTACGGGTTTATTTCGCACCTCGTGCATGCGAACCGGTGGCGTTTGACATCTTGGACATGGATTTCGACATCATTTTGAGGAAGCCTTGGCTTGCAAGTGCGAATCACACAGACAACTTCCATTGGCGGACACTTACCGTTCGCGACGCCCTTGGCGCCGAGGTGTCGTGTACTATTCCTCTTCCGCACCCTTCGATCTGGTGCCAAGTTGTGACGACCAAGTCTTTTCAGGTCACTTGTGCCTATGAGCGGATCGACGAGATCAGCCTATGTTTTCTACGAATCGTCGCGGTAACCGACTCTCCACCCACAGACTTGTCTTCGGACCCCCGTGTGGTACAGTTGCTTGATGAGTTCGTCGGCATCTTCGAGCCTCATGTGTGGTGCCGGATCAGCCAATCTCACATGAGATCATTCTTCAGGCCGGTGCCGTGCCACCGAAAGGATGCATCTATCACATGAGCGAGGAAGAGCTCGCGGTTCTATGCGCGAAACTCGATGACTTATTGGAGAAGGGTTGGATCCGCCCTAGTAGCTCATCATATGGAGCGCTTGTTCTCTTCGTACACAAGAAGAACAAGGATCTACGCATGTGCATCGACTACCGCAAGCTCAAATTGCAAACTGTCAAGAATGCGGGAGCTCGTCCTCGTATCGACGATCTTCTTGAACGTTTGCGTGATGCAAAGTACTTTTCAAAGTTGGATTTGAAGTTGGGCTATCATTAGATTTTGATACGATCACAAGGTGGCTACAAATCCGCATTCAAAACGAGGAACCGAGATTTTGATTGGGTCGTCATGCCTTTTGGCCTCACCAATGCCCCAACGACTTTTCAAGCGGCGATGACCAACGAGTTTCGCGCAATGTTGGACCGGTTTGTGCTGGTCTACTTGGATGACATTCTCGTCTACAGCCGGACCTTGGAGGACCATCTTGAGCATCTTCGCCGCGCGTTGGAGACGATCCGTCGCACCAAGTACGAGGCCAACCGCGACAAGTGTGAATTCGCACGACAAAAGTTGGAGTACTTGGGTCTTTTTGTCACACCAGAGGGCATCAGTCCGTTATCGAACAAGATCCAAGTCGTCCAAGAGTGGCTGGAACCAAGGAACGTCACGCATGTCCGTTCGTTTCTTGGGCTTGCCAGCTACTATCGACGCTTTATCGACAACTATGCGAAGATCTCGGCCAGTTTGACCAAGCTTCAATGCGAGGATCGACCGTTCGACTTCGACGACAATGTGCGGGCTTCCTTTTTGACCCTCAAAGTCGCTTTGCTATTTGTGGAGGTCTTGTGCATCTATGACCTGCTTTTGCTGATACGTGTCACTACAGATGCGTCCGACTATGGCATTGGTGTCGTCCTTGAGCAACACGACGTCGAGGATTGGCACCCCGTCGAATATTTTAGCAAGAAAGTGGCGGTAGTGCACTTGATTGACGACTCACGAAAGGAGTTGTTAGCCTTCGTACACTCGCTTAAACGGTGGCGGTATTTTATTCTCGGTTGAAGTCAATTCCGATGGGTAACAGATAACAATCCGTTGGTCTTTTACAAGACCCAAGACATAGTCCATAGCACCATCGCCTGTGGGATGGTTGTCATCGACCAATTTGACTTCTTCCCCAATCACATTCCGGGAAAGTCGAACCGTTTTGCGGATGCTCTTTCACGGCGTCCGGACCATTGTACCGCAGTCTACTTGACTTTCGAGATTGATGACGACTTGCACGACAACTTCATCCGCATCTACCAAGCCCACACTGCGATTCGCAACAAGTATGTGAATTGTTCCTCCCCAAATCCAGCGCCATCGCACTATGGGATCCAAGAGGTATATTTGCTCGTCCACTCGCGCGGGAAGGATCTTCTTTGCGTGCCAAGTGATTCCCACTTGCGTATGCGGCTTCTTGGTGAGTTCCACAACGCTCCCGCCACCGTACATTTTGGCGTCAATCGAACGATTGGCCAACTTCGCGAGCGCTTTTGGTGGCCCGGCCTTCTCGGCAACGTCACACGCTATTGCGAGTCATGCGAGGTTTGTCGGCGTTGCAAATCCTGCAATCATCGTCCGTATGGCGAGTTGCGACCATTACCGGTCCCCTTGTGACGAAGGGAAGCGATTGCCATGGACGTCACCGGGCCGTTCCCCAATCACAAGACCGGTGTGGATGGGATTCTCACGGTGGTCGATCGACTCACCAAGTTTGCCACGTTTTTGCCTTGTCGCTGTAACGCCAAGGCACCGGAGTTGGTCGGGGTTCTTTACGCCGGTTGGATTTCAACCATGGGTTACCCCAAGGAGATTGTTGGCTGCAACACTCGGTTCATGCCCGATTTTTGGTTGGCGCTCATCAAATGACGGGGCTCATGTCTCAAGCCGAGTTCGGCTCGCCACCCTAAAACCGATGGCCAAACGGAGAGGGTGCATCAGACCGCACAGGTTCTTCATCGCACTCTCTTGAGCGGCTGCCGGAAGTCGAGTTGGCATACAACTCCATTCATCAGGCTATTGGAATGTCACCTTTTGAGTTAGAGCATGGCTCGTCGGTCATTTCTCCACTGGGCACGATTATCCCACGGGCGGCCGATAGCGACGACCACCTTCTCTTCATTCCTCGGATGCAAGAGCTACTTGTCAAGGCACACAACCAGATGTGGAAGACGCAGCAACGTATGAGCCAGCACAGGCTAATCGCCAACGTCTTCCTTGTCCATTCGGCGCCGGCAACCTCGTATGGGTCTCCTCCACGGAATTAAACCTCGAACAAGATCTCTCTCGCAAGCTCCTTCCGAAATGGATGGGGCCCTGGCCCATTGTGGCACCTTCTGGGTACCTAAAGGACCTTCATTTGTCATTCAGGTGCCTGCCCAGTTGCCCGTCTACCCGATCTTTCATTGTTCTAAGTTAGCTCTGTTCGTTTCAACGAAACATGACGACTTTCCCGGGCGACGATCGTAAGACCCACCCTCTATGGACGGTTTTCAAGAGGTTGGCGCCATCATCTCCCAGCGGCGCTATGGCAACAGGCCGACAGAGTACTTGGTACGTTTTTCCTATTGCAGCCATAAGGCTGACCGTTGGTTGACCTGTGCGGAACTTCAGGCAACAGCCCCTGACATTCTCACACCTTATAAACGCAAGTTGCAAGGCAAGCCGGTACCTTCGGCGCCACGCCGTACTCGCGTTCATATTCACCATCGGATCGTCAGCTTCGTCCTCTACCCGGCTTGACTTCCTAAGGAGGGGGGGGAGTTACATGCTGCGCCTGCACACGGGCCCCATTTCAGGGGCCCGACAGTTGCTGAGGGCCCCCCAGGCAGCGTGCCCTTCAAACGTCGTTTTGGACTCGCAGTCCCCAAGGCCAAGCCTTGGGCTCGGTACACCGGAGGCAGGGCCATTGCAGGCCAGGCGCATTTTGGCGCCCTGCTGCATCAGGACGGTGGTCTGGACGCCCGGTAGGGGCCCAGACCGTGTGGGCCGTTTTCATGCCAACACAGAGGCACACCCGGCCGGCCCAGCACTAAATATAGCTGGGCCTCAGCTGAGCAGATACACAGTTCGAGTAGCTCACTTCTTGGGCGACACGCTGCTGGAGCAGCGCTGGGACTACACCACTACGCTGAGGTAGAGGTACAGGCGGAGGTAGGTAGAGGCGGCGGTGGCCATACCTGCAGCGGCGGGCCTACCTCGGGCCATAGCCGGGGCTCCACGCCGGCGACCTGCACATGAGAATGACAATGACGGTCAGTCCCCGGCTTGCGGTTACCTGCAGGTGAGACCGAGAGGAGGGCGACATCTTCTTCTTCTTCTTCGTCTCCATTTCTCCTCCCTCCTACCTTCTTCTTCTTCTTCTCCTTCAGAGAGAGAGAGAGAGAGAGAGAGAGAGAGAGAGAGAGAGAGAGAGAGAGAGAGAGAGAGAGAGAGAGAGAGATTACAGGCAGAGGTTACATTGGGCATTGTGCCCAGGATCTGATCCGGCATTTTGTGGCAGACATTGATCGGACATTTGGCAGGGGACTATTTTTGGACTTCGCTATCGCGATCTTGGTCTTCTCCCTCGCCTCCATCTTTGTCTAGCCTCTTGATGTATGATGTGATGTCGCATCAGTATCCGACAGGTCAGGTCATATCTTTGAGTCTTCCGCTGCACTACATTGTGCTATTTTTGTATGTATCGAGATGATGTACATTGATTGTTGATGCTTTGCTGACATTGCATCATCCATTATATTCCTTTTCATCACTCTGCGGATCCTTGGCTCATATACATTGCCCAACTGGGCATGTATCAGTGTGCTCTCATTGACAATTGATTTCGCTGCTTTGGTTCTCCTTCGTTGTGATATCAGTGCATTTTTGACTATCTGGCTTTCATTGTGATTTTGCAATCTGGAATTCTGTCATTTCGCTAATGCTTATTTTGAATATTTTCCTGCATGGGTAATGAATTGGGGGGTTGGTTGGGTATGGGTGGAAAAAAATGAACCAAGGCGAGGGCTGGGTCGAATATTGGCAAGATAAAAAATTGGTTTGGTATCCTCTGCTTGTGGTGTTGTGCTACTGTGGATGTAGCCTATCTGCTTTCTTACATAATTGAATATACAGGGGTCATAGCAATGACATTGAACTCACAATTGCTGCAAGGTCTTGATATCTCCAATCTCAGAAGGTATTGGTCCGCTCAAGTTGTTGCTATAAAGATTCCTGCACCATAAAGGACAGAAAAGACACAATTCAGTGAACAATGGTCACTGAGTGGAAGAATAATGAACCGAACCTGGCAGAGGCGTCACTGAAAATAGCGGACTAAGAGAGATTCAGAGTGCTAAATACAACAGGCAAACTACAATACCTGTGAATTAAGACAATGCACGAGCTACAGGTGAAGCTCCCGAATGGCTTTGGGGATGGGGAAAAGACATGGTAGGACAAAATACACATTTCGTGATCGAAGAATATAGCAAGTAGGTTACAGACTCAGTATGTCACTAACACGATAATAATGTAGTACATAAGAGATGGGAGTAACTACTTGACATCAGATGTCGAACTCGGAGAACGGATGAAAACACTCGAAACACCAAATCATAAAAAATAGCAAGTCTCCTCTTGCTCCTGGCCTACCAAGTAGTCCCCATACAAGGCTTGGTTAAATCAGAAATTCAGAACAGAAAGCTGCGTGCCCAGCTCAATGGGCGTACTCTTCCTTCGCGTTTTACGAAAGAACTTCAGATGAGAAAGAAGGAGCCGAGATCTTGGCAAGCGCCTTTGGTGTAAGGTGCGCAACACTCGACACCTGCACCCAAGCAGCCCTGTTTTTCCTTTTTTTAATTGCATCTGGAGGCAAGCAGCCCTGGTATTGGGGATGATCAGAGAAATATGGACTACGGTTATGAAATCAACTTGTGAAGAGGATCAGAAATGCAGGCTATTCAGTTTTGCTCAACAAGGTTCACAACTTTAAACCATTCCTAAACTGGTTCTTTATGCAAGCTCTACACTATGGGTGACATTGAAGGGGAGATGCCAGGCCACCCTAGGAAAGACCAAGGTCTCCATAAGAGAACAGCTTCAGGAGATCAGGGTGTTGGTGGAAACAGAGATCCTGGTCATGTGGAAGAACTGGTTACTAAGTAAACGGGAGAATTGGGATAAACAAGCGCCGATCTGGTTAAAGCTTTCGACAAACAGTACTTGGGCAAGGGAGTTTAGGCAAGGGTAGAACCTTGACAAACTGTTCTTTGAGAAATGGTACGAGGCAAGACTCTGGGAGGCAGCGGGATCCCAACCTTTCTGTGAACAATGGTAACAGAAGCAGAGGAAGTGTCTGATGGGATGAGGGAGAAAGTATTAGCTTGACTACTAAAGGAGCAAGTGGACGGGAGGGGATAAAAGGACAGGAAAAGAAATACCAGCAACAAGAACATGGACAGGCATGTTCTAGGATTCCTTTTCAGATCAGGGGGGCCAAGAGGAACAGAGGCAGGCGCCGACAGGAACAGGGGAGTGACATCAAGAGCAGGACAAGGATATAAAATGATAAAGAGTTTTCATAGGACAAAAAGGGACAGTGATGTTCATCCAGGCAGGGCAGAGGGGGAGTACATCCTTCCCAGGGGAACTAATCAATGCTGTCCACTCAGGCTCCCTCAGCAATAATAAACAGAAACGTAGCACAGGTTCACCTTGTAAGGGACGCTGGACCCGTTTTCCAGCTATATGAAGTAAACGTTACCAAATGCTGGTTAAGAAAGAAAGAACAAAAATAATGATAAACCGAACCTCCTTCAAATAACATTATTAAAAGAAAATGGTGATATACCTCGTGTGCAAACACTCCAATGAGAAAAAAAATCATTTAAAATATCTGCAGAATCCTTCCGGACCAGAAGCGACTGGAATAACAACACGTAATACTAGATGATCTGTTGCGGCTTACCTCGCAAAAACAGATATGATGGGTGATGCATTCATGGTACTCTCTCTCTCTCTCTCTCTCTCTCTCTCTCTCTCTCTCTCTCTCTCTCTCTCTCTCTCTCTCTCTCTCTATCTATCTATCTATCTATCTATCTATCTCTATCTATCTCTATCTCTATCTATCTATCTATCTATCTATCTATCTATCTATCTATACTAGATGACCTGTTGCGGCTTACCTCGCAAAAACAGATATGATGGGTGATGCATTCATGGTAGTCTCTCTCTCTCTCTCTCTCTCTCTCTCTCTCTCTCTCTCTCTCTCTCTCTCACACACACACA